TTTAAAGTATCGACGTTTTACGTTCTTGAGAAGTTCAGTTTTTTGTGGTTAGTAACAATTTTTAAAATAGTCAAATCCATGTTCAGGAGTTTATTATTCTGCAATTTTGCATAGTTGAGCTAATCGTTTTCTATTGTGTATGGACTAACCTTTGGACTAATTATTGTTGCTTTGAACAAGTTCTTGCATCTCAATCACTTTCTTTGGATTATAAGATGAAGAAAAATGAATGTAATTGTGAAGCTAATTTCCATGGGTGGGTACAATTATTTTAAGGGGGTAGGTTTAGAAATAATTATTTTAGAGAATAATATTGGAAGAAATTTGAAAAACCAGCAAAAATAATCAGTTTGGGTTGAAAAATGTAAAAGGTGAATAGAAGAGAGAATTTGCTGGAATAATTTTATTGATGTCAGAGCGCAAATATATACATCTTCCTAACTTCCTATACAAGTCTATTACTTCCTACAATTAAGCTATCACAGCAAGGTTCCATAAGTACTAACTATAATCGAGGAACATATAAGGAAAACAAATATTTACTTATCAATACAAAAGATATGACAGATTTGATTTTCCAACACTCCCCCTCAAGTTGGAGAGTGGATGTCTTGCACTCCCAACTTGCGAACCATAGGTATAAAAAACTCCTTTCCCAAAGCCTTGGTCAAAATATCAGCGAGCTGATTTGCAGAACTCACAAATTTTGTTATCACAGAACCATCTTGAATCTTGTCTCTTATAAAATGACAATCCATCTCTATGTGTCTTGTACGTTCATGAAAAATAGGATTCGCTGCTATGTGTATTGCAGCCTTATTGTCACAATATAGAAATGCAGCCTCTTGATGCAAAACCCCCAAATCTCTGAGTAGATAACGAAGCCATGTCAATTCACAACAAGCTCCTGTCATTGCACGATACTCTGCTTCGGCTGAAGAAAGGGAGACTGTTTTCTGGCGCTTCGACCTCCATGAAATTAACGAGGGGCCTAGAAATACACAGTACCCAGTAGTAGATCTTCTCGTAAGTGGGCATCCTGCCCAATCTGAGTCAGAGAAGGCTCGTAGTCGAAGATCACTGGTTGAGGAGAAGAAGAGGCCTTGGCCAGGTGCAGATTTCAAATAGCGCACAACCCGTAAAGCTGCTTCCCAATGATCCTTTCGAGGTTGGTGCATAAACCTGCTCAATATATGGACAGAATACGTAATATCTGGCCTTGAAACTGTGAGGTATATTAATCTTCCAACTAATCGCCTATATCGTCCTGGATCTTTGAGTAACTCACTTTTATCAGACAATTTTAAACCGCGTTCCATGGGAGTATTGATGGGAGCCGCCCCTAATAACCCTACATCCTTAATGATTTCCAGTGCATACTTCCGTTGAGAAATAAAAATACCATTCCTAGATGTAGAAATCTCAATACCAAGGAAATATTTCAATTCACCAAGATCCTTAAGGCGAAATTTATTATGCAAGAACTTCTTG